GCAAATAAGAAGCTTACAAAAGTAAAATTACAGTGCTTACTCAAAAAACTAATCTCCACTGGGCTGATTTGCCACAAGCCCCTCCCCAACCTGCAGCAGTATTTTCAAAGATTCATTCTTCCTGTGGCAAATATTTCACTTGCTGTCAATCTCAATTCTTAAACCAATAAATCAAAACCATTTATTTCTTGAAATATTGAAAAATCAAGAAGCTAAAAAGCAATACTTCATTTCTTGTGTAAAGAAAGAATACTGGATTTGTGTAAGGGAGAGAGACAGAGGACAGGACTGTTTGTGATCATGAGAAATGAAACTGGTCAGGAGCTGGTACACCAAGTCCTGTGAGTCCTCAGTGCATAGCAGGAGCAACAGCGTTTGAAAGTACCCAGCTGCACAGCAGCACCTGGGGCAACTCCTGCTATGCATTCAGTAGCTTAAAAATTTGTAGCTGCAGGAGCTACTCAGTGGAGTGGCCATCAGCTCTAGAGGCCTTATGCTGTTTGCCATGTCCAAGGTCTCCTCTAGGTCATAGACACACAACTTCACTGGGATAAACTCTTCTACTCCCCAGAAAATCAGTTGGAATGGTCTTGTTTGCAGCACCATTAATCTGATCTGATCCAGATAGTCAGAGAAATGCCATCCACGACCCAGCTGGGTTGACTGTGCAGGGAAAACACCGTTATCCATGGCTATATGCATATGATTAGCGTAATGATGTGTGCAATATAATTCCGAGTGACTGAGGAAGTCTGCTGATATACTGAACATCCACAGCATTGGTTCTTTCAAACTAGGTCTATATAGCTTATACCTTAACTACACCAGTATATAACACCACTTCTGATAGGAATAGCAGAGTTACTACAGATATATATCAGTACAACTGAAAGTCGGGCTCCAAGGAAAAGAGAACTTCAGAAAGGATATACAGATCTCCTCAAGAGCTGCATCTCAGCGTGCTTCATTCCAGCTTCAATGTCTAAGTAAAACTGGCCTATGCTCCATTCACAGGTCATGAAATGCAGGAAGGCTGATGAGTGAAAACATTAGCCATACTTCTGAATCTCTTCAGGTTTGCTTTGTGGGTTGTTTTTTTTTTTGTTTTGTTTTGGTTTTTTTTTTGTCTGTGTTCAGAATACTTTGTTCTAGAGGTACAGTCACCTCTGGAAGCCTCTTACTCTGTTTGTAGGAATTGCACTTATCTTTATATGTTTACTTCAGAGGCAAGATGTAGTAGCAGGAGACCAATCATTAACTAACAAGTTTGACAGGTCCCAGAACAAAACCCATCTCTCGTTATCCCAGCCTGGATTCCCAGAGATGCCAAACAGAATCCCAGAAAGTACTGCAGCAGTGAATGGGTGGAGATTGGCCAAGTCCTGGAGGAAAGCTTTATGTATCTTCATAGAGTTCTTTGCTCCTCCCTGAGTGTCTGCTCGCTGGTGACTCTCAAACTAGTTAGCTATCTAGTCTGATCTAGTGCGGTTGCTCTTATGTTGTTATAGAGTGAGCAGAAATAATGTGCAACTCTCTGCACCTGACTGTAGTCACGCTTTTCTGTGCAGAGAGCATCATTTCCTGACATAATGAAATGGGATAGAGTACTAGCTCTTTCCTGTTCGATTTTTTGATCTCTCTTGTAATCATTCACGATTCTCAGATGCACCAAAAGCTTGGGAGACAACAAAGGACCTCCACTCGCCACTCACAAGCACAGAAAAGCAGAGTGCATCAGCAGAAACACATGCTTGGAGAGAAAACTGAGTTTCACCAAGTGTTACTGTCCACCTGGATGTAGACAAGATTTCACATTTATTTCTGGATTGCTCTGATGACTCTCTTATCTAGACTAAACATTCATGGGTACACTTTGAAACATACTCATCATTTTCCCAGAAATGGGAACAGTGGTTGAATTTAAAAGCAATATCCTGCCTTCACCCTCTGCTTCATGGTAGCTGAATCACTGAAGAAATGACTCAAGACGTTTTGCCTCTCAAGACCAGAGTTGCATCAGAACCATTTTTACTGATATATAATCATATGATTCTAGACACCAGGAGAGCTCTTGAGACCCAGAGTAGACACAATGTTTCACTTACACATTTAAGGAGAGTTTTCAATCTGTAACTTCTTTTTTTTTTTTTTTATTTTTATACAAAAAAGGAGCCAGATAAAATCTGCACTTTACTCAAGCAGTAACTGAAGGAAAAAATAACATCTCTCCTTACATCGGCTCAGTGCTATAACTACTTCACTTAAAATAACAAGTGTCAAAAAAGAAAAAAAAGATCTTAAACATAACTATGTATTTCCTTTTGCAGTTGTTCCAGGCTCAGTAATGCACAACATTCCAAGTACAATCGATATAACTGAAGCACTCTGTTTTTTAATGTACGTGTGTGGTGGGTTGACCCTGGCTGGATGCTTGGTGCCCACCAAAGCTGCTCTATCACTCCCAGCTAGACAGGGGAGAGAAAGTATAATGAAAGGCTCCTGGGTCAAGATAAGGACAGGGAGAGATCACTCTCTAATTACTGTCAAGGGCAAAACAGACTCAATTTAGGGAAAAATTAATTTAATTTATTATCAATCAAATCAGAGTAGGATAATGAGAAATAAACCCAAATCTTAAAAAACACCTTCCCCCCACCCCTCCCTTCTTCTTGGCCTCACCTTTAGTCCCAAATTCTCTACCTCCTCCCATCAGCGGAGCAGAGGGGTGGGGAATGGGGAGTGAAGTCAGTTCATTGCTCATTGTTTCTGCTGCTCCTTTGTCCTCAGGAAAGGACACTTCATGCTCTTCCCCTGCTCCAGCATGCGGTCCCTCCCATAGAAGACAGTCCTCCACAAACTTTTCCAATGTGAGTCCTTCCCACCTGCTACAGCTCTTCATGAACTAATCCAGCGCAGGTCCCTCCTGCAGGGTGCAGTCCTTCACCAAGAAGCCACTCCAACGTAGGTCCCCTGCAAGGGGTCACAAGTCCTACCAGCAAGCCTGCTCTAGCACAGGCTTCCACCAGGGCCACAGCCTCCTTTAGGCATCCACCTGCTCCAGTGTGGGGTCCTCCGCAGGCGGCAGGTGGATCTCTGCTTCACCATTGACCTCCATGGGCTGCAGGGGGACAGCCTGCCTCACCATGGTCTTCACCACAGGCTGCTGGGGAATCTCTGCTCCGGTGCCTGGAGCACCTTCTTCACTGACTTTAGCGTCTGCAGGGCTGTTTCTCTCACATATTCTCACTCCTCTCTCTGGCTGCTGTTGCTATTGCACATCAACTTTTGCCCCTTCTTAAATATATTATCCCAGAGACGCTACCACTGTTGCTGATGGGCTTGGCCTTGGCCAGTGGTGGGTTTGTCTTGGAGCCAGCTGGCATTGACTCTATCAGACAGGGGAAGTTTGTAGCAGCTTCTCACAGAAGCCATCCCTGTAGCCATCCAGCTATCAGAACCTTGCCACACAAACCCAACACAGTGTGTTATGAAATACTGAGCTTCAGGAGGTGAGCAGACACCGTGTGCCACCTACTTTACTATTGTGCTTCAGAGATTTAACTTACTGAGAAATAAGCTTAATGCAAATAAAATGGCTTTCCCCTCCTGGCATTTGGCAGGCATACAGAAATGCAACAGAAGAGCAGAGTAGCTAGAGACACTCGCTTCTCAGAACTGTGTTTGGAAAGAATAGAAAGCATGTAAATCAAAACGAACCATCTGTGACAAGCCCTAAGCAGTGCCTCGTTTCAGAAAGTGCAAGCCTGGGAATGAAAGTGAAACTGTATGTAACTGTCAATTAAAATAATCTAATATAGACTTTTCTGCCTTTGGGGGAAGGGTGAGCACAGATTTTCTGGAAGTCCAGTCTTTTTTGTTTCCTTAGCATATATTTTACAGTTTGGGAGAACTGAATCACATCTGTAGCCAATATATATTACACACCTCATGGGAGAAAAGGTGATGGAGGAGACACTATCGTTGCAGATCACCTCTCAGCAGTTCATACGCACGACTGGTATAAGCTAACATAACTTCACATGAAAATTAATTTTAAAACAATTTCTAAGAGAAGAGTGACTTAATATTAGAATTCACCATTCCCCATTTGGGAAACATAAAACACTGTATCTTAAGACAGTTGCATTCAGAAATGAAAACCGGAGAGTTTCTGTCAGTTTACTCGGATCAGAAACAGACAGGAACGGCAGCATAGCCAAGGTAAGTAGAAACACATGGAAATTCCTGCTTGCCCAAGCACTATATATATACCATACATTGTCTGGCTGCACCTTTGGATTTACAGAGTTTAAATCAGACCAAAGTTTGGTCC